ACATTTTTCTTCATTCATGTATATAATTATAAACTTGGATAAATAGCCTTAAAATTGTGCACCCCGTGCATCGCACGGGCTCTGTACTAGTTAAAATAAAAAAGAGTACTTTTACAAAGTGAATTTATATCTAAGTTGTAGTTGTCCATCTACTAGAGCCCACTGGCCACATGTAAATTGTAATCAGTTAACCGCTGTTGTATTTATTATTTACAGTTACCAGTTGAGCGGACATGGAAAAAAAAACCGTTACGATAACACATAACAGCAAATTCTATCTACCCTATGAATTTAAGCAACACCCACCGTGACACGTCGATTTTTTATCCCATTATGTTTTCACATTAATGACACAAGTGGCACACTCCCATCCCACGATTTCATCTAATGATCCGCCCATTATTAAAACTAAAAGTTACAAATTAAAAATCATTTAAATAAGTATGAAAAATATGTGGACAAAAAAGATTATGAATAACGAGAAGAATATCTCCAAAGAATATAAAAGATACAAATTTATTGAAATCATAAAAATACAAACACTAGAATAATCAAAACCAAAAGTCTTAAATCAAAGTTATGAGAATTGGGTCGGTTGTCGAATGATTAAATTATTTGTTCAATGATTTACTAGTCGGATCAATAATTGATCGATATTTAATTTTAGTAATCGATATTTAATTTTAGTAGCTTTACGTATTAAATTTTTTATAAAAAAATAATTATATTAATAATTTTTATTATTTATACATTCAAATGGTTCAAATGTGTTTTGATTAATTATATATAACTCATTTCGGTTTGATACTTTTTTAAAAAAAAAATTGCCTGACTTTATTGATATTAGTTGTTACGCAATGTTAATTATCATTGCATGCAAATATAATAGCAACAATTACAAGTATATAAAAGTCTTAGCGATTGTTTGGAGTACTTCTGAAAAGTCCATTTAAGATATGGACTTATCCAAAATGGACTTCTCCAAATGTCTCCATTATTTACTTTTACAGAATGGACATTTTGGAGAAACAACTAATCCATAAGTCCATTCTTAATTTAGCAGCAAACATAAATATTTATTCAAATGGACTTTTGCATCCAAAAGTCCATTTGAAAAGTGTTTCCAAACAAGCTTAATAAGTTTAAAAAAGTCTATGATGAAAGTCTTAAAAAGTCTCTAATAATAAGAATTCCATAAAAGTCTCAAAATATCCACCAACATGATGAAAATTTACAAAGTCTACCAAAGTCACGCAATATAAAAAATTTTAAAAAGTCTTTAAGAATCTCAATTAGATACACCCTTAAGTTTGATGTCTTCAATCAAACATTTAAAAAAAAAAAAAAAAATTGGACCGACCGAATTTGATCGCTTTTGACCTGTTCGAGCGGTCAAAGACCGGTTCTTGACCAGTTCCTACGCAACCAATTTTTCCAATAGAGTCGGACCGTTTTAAGGGACCATTTTCACGGTCCAATCGGTTGATCCCATTCGATTCTCATAACCTACTTAAATCACAACTTTAAAAACTGAAAAAAAAAAATTGAAATGATGAAACTTTTACTTTATTAGACAGAAAAAAATGGACCCTCGTTGAAATTTATATTTACATAAAAATATCACAATATATATTGTGGGAGTGGGAATATTACTATGTTAGTTTTTCTATCATAGATAGACAAGATCAGTGGGCAGGTTTGCCCGTCGGACCCAACCCGTTGACCATGGGCTTTAGTTTGCACCAAAATTGGACCAGTGTTTTTTGTTCGGGCCGGTTCTAGGCTCTATATAGAAAATTTTGACACACTGTTCTGGACCCTCAGCCCGACCCGAAGGTTCGCTACCACAAAAATTGGAATTTTTAAATTTCATATTTGAATTTAAAATGTGGACCATGAGGTCGGAACCCAAATTGGCGGGTTAGGTGGGTTACAATGGTTGAGTTTTCAAATTTAACCATTTGATCTTGTGATCATTGGAATCCAACACTCCAGATTTATTTTACCATTTTCTTATTCATTTTTACATAAATTCTCATCATATTCTCAATTCTCTCTCTCACTCTCTCTCACGCTGTCTTAAAATTTCAGTTATTTAACATTAACCTATTAAGTGCATTTAACTTTTGAATCTCAATTTCATATATATCGAGTTCTCGTGAAAGAGGTTTAGCGTCAAGTCTAGAGAGTTTTGGTGGAAACCAAAGCAAAAAGGTGTAGAATCAACAAGTGGCGGTTTATTGGTGTCGATGCCATCGTTTAGCATCGACCATGTCTCCAACGAACTTGGTACCGAGGACATCTATGAATCTTTTCGATTTATAGTCCTATACAAAATGGGGTCCCCAAGGATACCACTACTCAAACTGTAGCTTCAACGGCTGCGAGTCAGAGTCAAGCTTTGGCATCTGATATCTTCACAAGACTTTTCATGGTCCGAAGGCGTTCCTCTATATTTGCAACCACTGTTCGGCTTGTAATCACAAGACATCTCTTTCAAAATTGAAAATGGTTACGAAACCTTGACTCAACACATTCGGTCCAAACATTCAACCGCAATGGGGATCGCGTTAAACCTACCTCAAATATCGACTGTAAATGAATCTAGAGCTGCATCTAAAACTGGAACTGCCAAGACAGGTTCTTGTTATTTATTTCATTACTCTAATGCAAACCATAGACGTTATATAGCTAAATTTATTTTTGCTTCATTTGTTTTTTTAAGTTTCGGTGATTTCCACTTACATGACAATTTTGTTTAAATGACTTTAAACTCATATGCGAGCTAGGTTCCAGTACTAGTCGCAATATCGATATTTGAAACATAGCGAGTGAGTGATAATTAATTTTGATGTAAATATTTGAAAATTTATCGCAAAGAGTTTCTTTTTTTTAGATATTTGATTCGATCATTGACAAGATAATTTTTATATAGAATTACTTGTCATTGGGTCGGTGTTAGTTTTAATTTATGAAAATATTTAATTACCTGTACGGGATATAATGAAACTCATAGTACTCATAATATCACTCATTTAATTAAGAAATTGATCATTTTTTTCATTTCTTCTGATAATACTAGTTCAAATACTACTTCATTGCCTGAACTTGCATGTGTTTTCGTCCTCAAGGTAGTGGTAAAATATTTCAAATTTGATATATTTGTCATGTTCTTAATCTTTGTGTTCAATCAGGTCTTAGTGTTTTGAATAGTCGATTGTGCCCATTACAAAAGTGGTTATGTATTTGCACCATCATCCACAAGTCATGAAAAATTGAAAACATTGTAAAAGTATAGGAGTGGTACCCAGAAAATATATGTTGGATGTTCCCACCTGGTGGAATTTAACTCATGAACTTTCAGATTTATTGTAAGGGCATCATCAATCAGAATGAAAATGATTTGGTTAGATCTAATCTCTTATAAACATTTTGGAAGCATATAAAAATTCTACTGAACTATAAACATTTTGGAAGCATATAAAAATGCTACTGAACTATTTCAGTTGTTTACTATCCTACGGATCAACTTTCATTGTTCAATGTAGTGTTATACGGAGGTTTAGAGATTTAAATTTGAGCCATCTTGAAGGCAATCATGTCCGTGTAAATGATATGTTTCGTAAATGGTTAAAATATTATTTGTAAATTCCTGATACATTTTATAAATTTGTTAGATTCGTCTATAAGAGACATATGATTGATCAATCAACTCTACACTTATAATGATATTAAGATTCAAGTCACTTCCGTAGATGTTATTCATATCACCAGGTATGGTTAACATCTTGACCCACCACTGAGAAAGCAAAATATTTGTTGTATGACTTGTCTAGGGAAACAACAATTGAATTTTTTTCGGCATCATTTTCTTCCTCATCTTCTTCTTTCCAATTTGGTCATCAAATGGTAGGGTCATAGAGCGGAGACCTTCGAGATTTGGTAAAGTCCCAATGTTTACCAACAAGCTATTAGCTCGAGCGGCGAAATACCAAGAACTGGATATAATGAACTCAACCACTACTTGAACAACGACTTCATCCTTACAGTGGCTAAAACACCTATCCTGCCACTCCAACTTGATATCTTAGTTGGTGTTAAAAAATAAAGACCATGTATCATAGTCTGCCATGAGAAGTACTAATATTAGGTGGGTCATCACTCCATTTTTTTCTATTAAAATATAGGTTTGGTCGTAGTTTTTGTTCAATCAGTTCAGATCTGTCTACGCGTCTCGAGTTTGGTCGCAGTTTTTGGATCTAGGTTTTCGGTTTGCAGCTCCTTGGGATTCGTGGCTGTGAGGTTTGGCTCGTATTCCGGTTTAGGGTAGTAGTACGATTAGCTTGCAAGGTTTAGAGGAGGTGTTATTATATTTGTTTATTAGGTGTTTGTTGTTTTGTGTTTTTTTGTTGTTCATAGTGTTAGTAAAGCTGAGTCTGGTTCCTAGTCTTCTTTGTGGAGTTTGCATCTTCTTCATGGAACTTTTGTTTTGTAGGTGTTTATACCTCTTTCGTGGCCTGTGTAATTTTAAGAAGGGTTGGTCCAAATTGTTCTGGTTTAAGTAGTGTATATACACCCCTCAATATACTCTTTTTAAGTTTTCAGTTATTAATATAATTGTCGGTTGAAAAATAAAAGAATCACAATTGTGAAGCATAGAGGGTGTAGCCGTAGTCCACGCAGGCACACCGCACACATTCTCTTCATTTTAGACACCACATTTGTTTATAAAAATTAAAACCTTAAAAACAATGTGATTACATGTGAAATCCGGCCTTTAAAGTGAAAATCGCACTCTGCGTACGCTAGCAAGCACCAACTGGCCAAACCATCAATACCAATGTGGCACACTACGAATATACGCCGCCCGTATATCATTTACCAATAACCTCTTCTTGTTTATTGACAACTGTTTTTTTAGCTGTTATTATTAATTTATTTTTATCAAATTGACAGAGAAAAAGGCTTTAAATAGAGGTAAAAAAATAAAGTGGAGAAAAATGAATAGAAAATTTGAGGCCTTAAGAAAATTCGAAGGGGCAGCTGAAATAGAAATCCCCATTACAGGCCCGCTATATATATATACACCCAGCCCCCACTTTTGCACAGAGTGGGAAGTGCAAGTGCGTGTTTTTATCTCACGGTTTAAAGAGGAAACTCTTTCGAAATCTTGTAATTCTAACAATCTTGTTTCCTTTTAATCTCTGCTGCCTTTTTGGGAACTGTGTTTCTACAGTCTGGGATTCATTCAGTCTTTAAATTTTGGGAGATTGTGTTGTGTCGAGGGTATCAAAGGGAATCTTGGTGAGGACCCAGTCGAAGAATTACTCAAGAAATTTAATGGGTATGTTTGGTTTTATTTTTCTCCTGATTAACAATATATTTTTTTTAATCAATTTCGTTTATGTTTACGGGTTCGATTTTGCTTTGAGGATGAAATATTTTCTTGGTGTTTTTCTGATTTGATGCTTGCTGTTATGGGCTTATGGCCCCTTTGGGGTTGGTTATTGTTGGCTCCAGCCTGTAATTTGGTATGAGGTCCTTTCATGGGTTTCACACCTTCCCGTGTGTGTGTTTATTTTTGAATACTGTGTTTTTCCTGTAATTTGGCTTTTAGTCGGTGACTGCCACAGTACCATAGAACCCCACCATGCCATCCCCACACAGAGGTGGAAAAACAAGCACAATTGCTTTTTTGTTTGGTCTTTTTTTTCCAGATTTTTCATTTTTCTGAAACTTTTTGGGTAAAGCCTTCTTCATTGTCTGGCCCTTTGGATGTCTCAAAGGGGATCATTCTAGATTTGCAATCCCATCCCAAATCTAGTGATTTTTATTTTTATTTCTGTTTTACCTTTCTTCCCTTTTATGGCCCATGGATTATTTTCCACTCTTTGTATCCTCTGTCTGTGATTGGTTCTTGGGACAAACTCTGTGTCTGAGGTTCTGAAATATTTCATAGCTGAACCAGAAAAAAAAATAAATAAAAAAATAAAAAAATTAACTAACAAATTTCAATTCTTGTTCAGAAGCTTCAGTGAGTTATTCAGGGAGCATGGATGATGAGTATGAGAAATTAATAAGGAGAATGCACCCTCCAAGGTATATATATATATATTCACAAATCTATATATAAATATGTACTTGTTTCAGTTTTAACTGAGTTTACTATTGTGTTCTGACTAATTCTAATATATCTCAATTTTCTCAGAGTGGTTATTGATAATGATTCTTGCAAAAACGCAACTGTCGTTCAGGTGTGCAAAATTTTCCCCTCTGTTTGTTTTTTACATTTTTGTTGAGTTGTTTCCTTGGAAAAGAAGTTAAATAAACCTTTCATATATATATATATATATATATATATATATATATATAATACT